CTATAACACGTGGTTATAGATTTAGAATTGATCTGCGCTCTGGTTGGGGTGGTTTCTATTATTGATTTGGTATCCCATGATCATTTAAAAGGTTCATAGTTGAGGTGCCTGTGTGGCCCAGTTGGTTGAGCATCTGATTTTGGTTTGAGCTCAGGTCATGATCTCGTGGTTTGTGAGATGGAACCTGTGTCAGGCTGACGCTGATGGTCGGGAGCCGGCTTGGGATTCTCTCTCTCTCTGCCCATCCCCCTGTGCTCATGCTCTCTCTGTCTCTCAAAAATAAATAAATAAGCTTAAAAACAATAAAAAAGTAAAAGGTTTATAGTTATATGACAGCATTTCTACAAAAATGCCTATATCTTTTTTTTTTAAAAAAAAGCATTCATGACACTGAAACTAATAATAATATTATTATTATTGAAAATAGTTACTGAGACATTCAGCTTGATAGTGCCATCCTAGCAGTTCTCAGGAAAGGTAAAGTTTTGAATGTAAACTGGAGCCTCAGTAGAAATTTGAGTTGAATCCGAGGGAAAAACGCACGTAAAAGTTTTCTGGGCAAAATTCCAGCACCGTAGCACAAGAAGATTGCCGTGTCCAGTAGAGAGTTTCAGGAAGAAAGAATGCAAGACTTTCGGAGTTTTTTTCTGTCGCGATTTTAAACATTCGTGAAAAGAAGCTTGCTCCTGTATTTCCCTTAATTAAGGGCATGGGACTTCGCGGTTTGCTCTGGCTTCTCAAATCTCTTTTCCAATGAAACAAAATTCTGCATGTAGAGAAGGAAGGTTGGTACAGGGGTGCTTGGGTGGCTCAGATGGTTAAGCGTCCACCTCTTGGTCTCAGCTCACGTTATGATCTCAGCTCACGTCATGATCTCAACAGTTTGCAAGATGGACCCTGCATCCGGCTTTGCGCTGTCAGCGTGGAGCCTGCTTGGGATTCTCTCTCTCTGTCTCTCCCCTTCTCTCCCTCTCCCCCTCTTTCTCTGGCCTTCCCCTGCTTGTACTTTTTCTCTCTCACACAATAAATAAATAAACTTAAAAAAAATTAAAACACAAGAATGTTGGTAGGAAGTTGTATATGTGTACATACACAGATACGTATACATAAACCCATATATGTATACACACATACATCTGTATATATACACATATGTATATATACATAATCCTATATCTATGTATATACACAAGATTATATATATATATATATATATATATATATATATGTATGGAATTCATTTCTATATATAAAATCAAATAAGCAATGCACTCACATTTCTAAAGCCACAGCCGGATGTACAGTTGCAGGAACCGCCCCCCCCCCCACACCTGTCCTCTCAATAAGAAATGCTTTCTCCAGAAACAACTACTTCTACCGGTTTCTTCTGCAGCTTCCAGAGATAATCTATTTATACTTAAACAACTGTGTAAATATTCATTTACAAACACAAATACTAATACTGTTTCTGTACCAGGCTTTAAAAAATATATATAATATGTCTGAGAGACTGTACCAGATCAGCACAAATAAAGCTGCTTCATTCATTTCAATGACTGCATAGTATCAGCACTTCATTATGGAATATAATGTTTAATATTCTATTACACCACATGAAATATTAACAGTATGTTAATATTGATTGATTTAATTTTAGTTTTATTAATTAGTTTAATTAATTTTATATTTATTAATAGCATATTAATGTATAACCACACACCGATATTTAACTTGCTCTCTATTTTTTGTTCTTTCCAGCCATGCTAAAAAATGTCATTTGCAGTCATATGAGTTTATCTGTAGATGAGAAAGATTTCTAGGTTGAGTGAAGTATGTACATTTGTAATTTTGATTGATTTTGCTGACATGTTCTTCATTTACATCATGTCCTCAGCATTATAATGTGTTTATCAAACTATTTGATATTTACTAGTCTACTAGGTGAAAAATGTCCCGTGTAGCTGTGATTTACATTGTTCACATTTGAGTCAGGTTGATCAGTTTTTCATATGCTTAAGAGCCATTTATATTTCCTTTTCTGTGAGCCATCTGTTCATTTCTTTTCCTTCCTTCCTTCCTTCCTTCCTTCCTTCCTTCCTTCCTTCCTTCCTTCCCTCCTTCCTTCCTTCCCTCCCCCTTCCCTCCCTCCTTCCTTCCTTTCCCCTCCCTCCTTTCTTCCTTCCTTCCTTTTTTTTCCAGAGTTTCAAACTTACTATCATTGACTGTAGAAGCTCTTTATATGTATAAAAAATTAGCTTACTGGGTTTATGTATTGTAGGACTTCCCACCCTGCCCCCATTCCTTGACTGTCATTTATGTCTTTGGTAGAATTTTTGTTTGTTTTAAAATGCCTTAAATTTTGTTATGTGTTGATTCATCAGTGTTGTGTTATGCCATTCATAGGAAGGCTTTCTCCATTCTAAGATCATAAACACAAACTTCCCATGTGTTGTTCTAGTGCTCTTATGGCTTCACTTTTTAAAGGCAATCATTTAATTCATTTAGGATGTATTGAAATAAAAGGAGTGAAATAGGTCATCCTTTGTTCCAGCTGACTATCCAGGTTTCTCAAACTGTTTACTGACCCTACCTCTTTAACCTATTGAATTGAAATGCAACCTTGACTGCACACTTGATTTCCATATATATCTTTGACCTATTTGTAATTTGTTCCCTTGACCTTCTCACCTGCCCATCACACTGCCTTATGATGTGTCTGTTAATGCCTAGGGGAGCCGGTGCCCCCAGAGCGCCTTTTGTTTTGAGAGATACCTTGCTCTTTTTGCATTGTTATTTTACCATATGAACTTTAAAGTCAACTTGTATAATAACCTCAGCAAATCAAAAAGTATTGTAGAAGTTTAGTTTTTTAATTGGGGGTTCATTCCATTATACACGTGTAGCTTAGGGAGAACTGATACTTTTTTTGATGCTGTCTTATTTACTATCAGGGAATATCTTTCCAATTGTAACCTTTGTTTTTTATTGCTTAGTAGCATTTCAAAGTTTTCTTCATATAAACTTTGCATGTTTCGTCAGATTTCCAGATGTTTTACTCTTATAATAAATTAGATTTCTTGTGTTGTATCATTTTGCTAGTGAGTGTGTGTGTGTATGTGTGTGTATGTGTGTGTGTGTAGGCTATTTTTCAGCGTATTCATTTTCTACCCTGTACCTTTTTAACATTTGAAATAGCTTTTCTCTTGATATTTTTGGGTTTTCTGGGAAAACAATCATATTATTTGTAAATACTGATAATTCTATCTTTTTGTTTCCAATTTTGGTTCTTCTTTTCTTTCCTTATCCATGTCAGTGGCTAGTATCTCCTGAACAATAGTAAGTTGTGATAGTGGTAATGATGTATTGTCTTGATTTTACTGGTAATATTTCTAGTAGTTCAAGGTTTAGCCATAAATAAAAGAATTCTCTCTCTCATGCGTGCGTGCGTGTGTGTGTGTGTGTGTGTGTGTGTGTGTGTGAGAGAGAGAGAGAGATTATGTAAGAAATAGCCAACTGTTCTTATTCTAAAACAACGTTCTGATTTATGGTGATGATGTTCCACTTGGTAAAGTTGCTAGAGATCACTTCAAATAGGTCAGTTTTATGATATAGAAGATATACTTCAATAAAGTAGTTTTTGAAAAAGAATGTATTCAGTATTTTATCAATACCTGTTAAGTATCTATGGAGGTGATCATAAGCGATTTTGCCTTTACTCTAGTTATATAGTGAATTGTTTAAATAATACAAAATCCTTGTATTCCTAGAATAAATCCCACATAGTTACAGTATGTTCATCTTTTTATGTACTGCTCAATTCTGCTTGCAAATTTTTAAATTTAGGATTTACATCAGTAGTTAGAAGGGAGATTCATAAATAGTTTCTTTTTTGGATACTTGTTAGGCGTTGGTATCAGTACTATACCTTACTATTCAAATAAGTATTTAGAAACTTACCTTCTTTTACCTTGTGTGGAATAGTTTGAATATTAGCATAATTGTCCCTTTAAACCTGCTTAGAATTCACCCCTGAAGCCATCGAGGCCCGTGTTTGTTTCTTTATGTTTTTATTTCTTGGCGGGTTAGTCAGGAGGATATCCCTTTGACTTCTATTTCGTTAGAGTATTGACCTGTTTCAATATTCTTTTTTTTTTTCAATGGGGTGTGATTCTTTACGTATATATGATATATTATTTAAGAAACATCTTCTGTTCGTACTGATTGAGTCCTTCCTCAGTCAGCTCAGCCTGATTGAGATGATTGATGTCGAGTTACAGTTTTCAAGAGTGGTACCTCTTTTGTTGTATTTGGTTATGTCTACCATTCCCATATTTAGACCTTATGGACTATTCCATATTTTTATTGTTGACATGGTAGTATTGTAAACCATGCTGTGTGTTTACACTGCTCTGTAGACCACCATTAGTAAGGTCTTTGGTATCCTTGGCCAAGAGAGCTCAGTTTTATTGCTGGTCATGTGGCAGGCACAGTGCCTGTCCTTAAGAGAGACACCGTTGATTTATCTTGGTCTTACACATTGTGGGTACTCAGTGATGCTAGTGAATGAAATACTTGTTTAGTTGTCTGTGTGTGTGTGTTTGCGGAGGTTATAAAAGACATGTTCCAAGAGACAATACATGTTATGAATACAAAATTGAATTAAATAAACGAAATATTAAATATTCAGGTATATTAAGGGATACAGCTTTCATGCTTCCCTAGGGGAGAATGACTTTGAAATAATTTTCAGTTGAGGCCTTCTATCTGGCCTGCATTTCCAAATTAATATAAAAAGCTAAAACTGTTGCAGCAATATTTTGGCTTTTCCGTATAAATTGGGTAATATGCCAGGAAAAGGAAATCAACCCTGGAGTAACAGAGCTACCAAAAATTTAGATTATGTTTATTTTAAAACATGTTAAGGAAAAAAAGTATTGATAGTTGATAATTGTATTTGTGTTGAAGATTTATTGACAAAACATTCTTTCCTTTTTTCATAGATTTATCTAAAAACAGACTGGTCGAAGTCCCAATGGAATTGTGCCATTTTGTATCACTGGAAATTCTTAATCTGTATCATAATTGCATCAGAGTCATTCCTGAGGCGATCATTAATCTGCAGATGCTGACTTACTTAAACTTGAGGTAGGTTGTCTATAAAGATTATAATCAAATTCACAGAAAAAGAACCCCAAATAATGATGCTTCCATTTCTATCAGGGCTTTTTCTTCTTGGCAATTCCTGATCATCTTTTGAAGTAAATCATACAAGGATTTTTTAAAGAACTACCTTCCATAATAGATTTGTAGTGCCATTCATACTGTTTTTGGTGCTAGACTTCTCTGAATGTCAATATGACAACATACTAGTGTTTAGTTTTTCTACAGTAATTTATATGGCAGCATTTATACCTTTTGTCTCTTTGGTGCTTGGTATATGGTCTTTGGGTATTGGTGTAGTTTTGGGAGGAGGAGGGCTAAAGGAAGCGAAAAAAGAACTTAGAGGTTTTGACCCGTTGGGACCTTGCTGGTCTTTGGGAGTTTTTGTACCTTTGGATTTTCTACTTAGTACTGTCTGAGCCTGTTCCTTTTTGGCCACCTGAGAAAATTCAAGAGCACTGAGCAACTCCAGTAAGATACGAAGTTTGCTGTCTTTGTAACCCCATTCAGTTAGGTCAGCATTTGCTGAGGACAGGCTGGTGGTCTGTGTTGATTCTCTAATTACACACAGCACAGTGTCACATATTAATGCCCCTGAGTAGCTCTGAAGTTAAGAAAATAAGCTACTTTAAGGCCTTGGTTTTAGACCTTGTGCTGTGACTATCAGCTGCTCTGGCTAGGTTTTGGCTCTTTGTCTCCTAATTCCTTGACTCATACTGGATGTCAGGAGGGAGACAGGAGCTGTTATATCAAATCTATCTCTGCAAAAAAAGCAAGGTTCCAAAGTTTAAGCCTGAGCAAAGCCTTCACTCATGTCAGTGGCATTATCTTGGTGTGTAAAGAGCAGCACCTGATTAGCAAAGCTTGTGCTGTGTAACAAACATACCAAACTTTAAAGTGCAAAATTCCCAATGAACCAGATATAGCATTAACTTGTGATAGATAACAATGTCAATTATTTTTTAGTTTTTTTTTTAAAGCTAGCTACTGAGAGTTGGGGTCTTCTTTTGCTTTCTTTGCAGTCAGAGTGGGTTTCTGTTGCATTTCATTATATGTGCATATCCTCCTTGGGAGTGAAAAAAAGTCCTACTCATGTTTTTAAGTGGCCTTTGCTACTTTTTTGGTAAATGAGATGTAAATTACTATTAGCATAATCTCTAGAGACTCCTGTAGCTTACTTTCAACTTCTCCAGGTTTCTAGGTCATCTGACCATTTTGAGTTTTCTTGAGTGAGACAGTCTAAACTATTTCCGTAACAGCAGAATGTTAATTTCCTTGGAATTGCTGGATGGAGCCAACGTAGTGGTGTCTACAGAGTTTGGTTCATTATTTCCCTTAAACATCTGCCCTCTAATTCCAATCTGCATGGAGGAAATATCCCAAGGGCATATACAGTTGGTGTGTTCACTTTACTTACCTGTATCTGTCCCGCTGTGGCATTTTCACATCCAGCAGTGCTACATGTAACAAATAAGAAGATTTACCTTTGCATTGTTACACTAAGTCCATATACAGTGAGAAACTTTTGGGTATAGATGACATAACTCTTCTGGGATAATATAAACTATAGAATTCTATAAATCTAAAATAATCTAATCTTAACCTTTATGTTTTATTTATTTAAAAACTTTTTTTAATGTTTATTTTTTGAGAGGGAAAGAGAGAGACAGAGTGAGTGGGGGAGGGGCAGAGAGAGGGAGACACAGAATCTGAAGCAGGTTCCAGGCTCCAAGCTGTCAGCACAGAACCTGATACGGGGCTTGAACTCACAAACTGCGAGATCATCATGACCTGAGCCAATATTGGATGCTTAACCAACTGAGCCACTCAGGCGCCCCTATGTTAGGTTTTAAAAGCATTAATATAATTGGTTTTGGTATGATGATTTTCATGTCGAGCTTAGTTGAGAGTAGAGTAACATTGTTGTCTTCAGATGATAGAAAGGATGTATTGAAGTGTGGATTTCAGAACCTTTAAGGGCAAGAACAGAGTCATTGAGACTGATGATGCTGAAGAGGAACAATGTGGGTATATTGCAGACAGTTTTGTGGTGAATTGCTAGGTAATAGGAAGAAGAAAGAAAGAAAGGGGTTGTTGAACACCCAACTCTTTAAATGTTGTTTTCTATCTGCTTAATTTCTCGTTTGCCTCTATCCTTTTCCCCTTTTATATAGATCACTTTTGTTTTGTGTTGTCTTTCTTTGCTCACATCTCTATGCTTTAATACCTATTCTGTAGTGCTGAATCCTGACTCTTTAAAGGAATTGAGAGCTACATATAGAAAATTAAGAAAAAAGTATGTCTCTTACTTTTTAGGTGTTGTATCAGGGTATATGAAAATGTAAGTACATCCTCTAAACTCTTTGAAAGCCAGGTCCTGTGTGTGTGTGTGTGTGTGTGTGTGTGTGTATGCTTGTGTGTGTGTATATATATATATATATACATATATATATATGTAATTATTATATATAATATATATGTAATTATTTTTGATATGTATATGTAATTATTTTTGATACCCTTTTTAAAATTTACTTCACGAGTATAAATGTGTAACATAAAATAACGTAGGGAAAGCTTTAAAGTGACCGGGAAGATGGGCCCTTTGTTCAATTATAGAGCCTTTAATTCCCAATTTATTGGGTTTAGTTGGAATAGGTCTTCTAAGAATTGGACCATTTGCAATTGAGTTATTTTTGTGTTTGATAGTGATTTGAGGTACAATGTTGTATTTGCCTAAAAGATTTATTTGTAACTTGTAAAATAGTAGATGACTGTCACATCTGTTTATTTGCAAATATATAATACATAATATTACTTGCAAATATATAATGATGCCTGGAAAATACCAGTGGCATCTAATGAAATCATGATCTCTTCTAAGATGTTGAGTGGCATCATCCACACGATAGTGTAGTCTGTGTGAGTTCTTCTCGTGCTCAAACTCCTACTCCACTCCTTGCCACCGTCATGCTGCTAACCAGGAAGGCATTTAGAATATTGTGCTTGTGTGGGATCATGATACATGTCCCATCCACAATATCCAGGATTGGGCACTGTGGCCTTTTCAGTTCCTTTCTACCCCTCATGAAAATCAAGTCAACGAAATAAAATTTATTTCTTTTTGGGTATGGTGAAGGGGCATAGTGGACTCCCGTTGACTTTGGCCTTTGGAAGAGAGGCTGTCAATCTGTGTACTTGAAAAAGATGCAGGGGACTCAGGAAGCCACAGACATACTGCGTTGTAGAAGAACTGAGTTGTCTTCGTGCAGTTTTTTTTTTTTTTTTTTTTTTTTTTTTTTTTTTCTGTGACAAATGGGGGATTATGCCAAAGAAAGAAGCTTATACTCTAGACAGAAGTGTATCATCAAATCACGACCTCATCACCAGTCTAGAGGTATCGGGGAAATCTGTATCAATTTTAGAAAATTAAAGACCAACTGTAAATTGCTTTTAGGCACACACTTAATGCGGACTCTGTCAGCTGTAGCCTGTTCTGACACAACTTAGCAAATAGCCACGTTCATCAGACTTTACAAATCAGTACCTGAAACTGCTTTCTCTTCCATAGTGCTTAGCGGTTTTTCCTCTTATTTCTGTGAACTACGAGTAAAGAGCTGTTTAGATAAAATAGTGTAGAGATGTTGCTTTTCAGATTTTCACAGATTGCATGTTTCTATCCTTAAAATTAAACACGGTCTCAAGGTATTTTTAATTTTTTCTCTTTTTTAATAAATCACATATAGAACTCACTAGGGCTGTATGTTTTAAAGTAGGAGAGATGCCATATGAAGCTACTTTGCATTGACGGGAAACATTCAAAATTGATCACACCCTGTGGGATATATTGGGCATTTCAGCAGAGGAAACAGCCATAAATATTTGATGGCGATGGTGGTAAGGATGACAATGGAGCTGATGGTGGTGGTGGTGGTACTCCCCATTGCCTACATAGCTTCTTGGCTGAAGGGATGTCTCAGAGATGTTATCTCTAAGTGTCAATGGCTGCTTAGTGCCAGAAACCCAGTTCCTGTCTTAGACTAGAGATGGGTGTAATTAGCACATGCAAGATAAAACTCTTCACTGTGAAATACAGTGAAAAACACTTCAGCGTCTTCCCACATGATAGAAATGTCAGACTCGTGGAAAATACTAATTTATTGCTGTTTATGTAGCCTGTGTTTGAAGTCTCAGGGCTTTTAATCTCTGCGTCTTGGTGTTCACAACAGAAGGTTATGTTAGTTTAGTGTAGGTGCCACTGTGTTTCTTCCTGTTATAAAGTGTCTTAATCCCAGAAATGTGGCCAAGAACAATAAAAACGATCAAGCAAGAGCTGTTCCTATAGAGAACAAACACTTTGAACCTGAGCTACACAGGAAAGCCTTTCAAAGTTTAAACTCTATTTTAAGGTGCTGGAGAGGCTGTTGTTGATTAGACCCATGGAGAAGATGTACCTTAGGAAAACAGAATAACCCGGACTAGCAAAACGCTTGGCAACAAAGGGGTGTTACGAGTCTAAGACTAGGGACTTTAGCTTAAAAGTTTCATCTCAGAGAGGTTCAGGAATAGAAACTGCCAAAAATGGAAGTTCTTTACAGCATTTGATCATATTGCTTCCAGGACTTCTCGTGAGTGGTTTTACTTTCCGAGGGTGAAACACACACATCGGGAGCTGGCTTCTTCATTAGAAGCCCCCCTGTGTCTATCAGTCTATTTAGGAATAGTTTCTGAGGCATTGCCTGTGAAGGAAAGGGCAGTCTCTTGAGCAAAATGTTATCATACCATAAAAGGAATCTGTTTTGGATGCTTTTTCTGAAGCCTGGCATCCTTTTTGGCTGCTAAACAATGTGCAGAAAGAGCCAACTTCCTGATGGCCATATAACCTGTATCCCTACATTCCTTTGGTGGGGTGGGGGGGGGCGGTTTGGGGAGGTCCTTCTGAGAAATAATCTTTAATCCTAAGAATAGCTCACTATCTGAAGGAT